GGGGAAGGACGCCGCGCCGCGACGCGCCGCCATTGGCCGGCCGCCGCGCCGCCGCGCTGCCATTGGTCGGCGGGCGCGCGGTTAGGCGGCGCTTCGTCGCCTCGAGGCCTCTGCCCGGTCGGGCTCCTGCTCCTGGCCGGGCTCCCGCCGGGCGGCGGCGCGGCGGAGGCTGCAGTGGGGGATGCTGCTGTTGCTGCTGCTGCCGTCGCTGGCTGGGATGGACCACACCGCCGCCAGACGCCGAGCAGCGCGCACCGCTCCGCGCCGCCGCCAACGCCACCGCTCTCTCCGCGGCGCCGGCCGCCGCGATGTCCACCAGCTCGCGTCGCGCCGCCGGTCGCTGCACTGGCTGGAGCGGATACCCAACATCGGTGCTATGCGCGCACTGTTAAAACCTTACGAAGAAAAATGCCAAATCTTTCGTAGGTAATCTACGAAGGTTTTGGAAGCTTCGTAGGTAGCAAATCCTCCGTAGGTACGAAAGGGGCATTTTGCTTCGTAAGGTTTTAACTGTGCGTGCTGATATAAAGCGATCTATACATCATCGTTTTGTTCACCGCGTACAAAAGGAATTAAATGGAAAATTGAATTGTATCCCTCCTTCTGGTCATCATTTGTGGTACTTACTCACAGTATACTGTAAACCGTCCGTATCAAAACAAATACATACAAATACATAAGTCTACAAACAATTATTGGAATGTAAGAGGGAAATGGGTAACTTTATCCAAGATTTAAGAATTAGAAATTTTTCAGATGACCTCATGTAACTTACACAATTCCCAGAAATTACATTTGAAACCAAAAACCAACACATATTAATCTACCCTACTATACAACACGGGAAAAACTGTGAGTGAGATTCTCGCGCGCTTATCAACTTTAACGGGCGAAATTGATGAATTTTGAACGGCACTGGTGCTGACATGCACTTCAAAGTAGAAAAAAGACTAGAATAGACAATATAATTTTATAATTAGCATAGGTAGAGCTATACCATAATGAGCTATGTTTTACTACATGATAACATGATAACTTATTTTTATATTTTTAGCGTGAAGTTTAGGCACTTTACAAATCAAACAAGCGGTCCTGTCTACGTCTTTCCTGAACTGCTCGCTTCCTTTGGACCAAAAAACTTTTCCGCTACTATTACCACCTTTCTTCATTCATACCTTGACTCGGTGCGGAAAATTATTCCGCGTCGCTCTTAACTTATTGCACCTGACATTTACATTACACACGGGGTTCAGAGCGCCGCGAGCAGTGCGCAATTATACGATGACATTTCTATTTAGGAACAGGCTTTTCTTGCGGCCCTCTTGTCTTCTACCCTGTCCGTCCGTCTGCCTGTCCGTCTTTTCTCTCTTCTCTCTCTCGTCACGTGACCGTACTTGCGCCGACCAATCAGGGCTGAAGAAAACCATATTTAGTGACTTATCGCAACGACGACAATTAGACGCACCATAACAATAAGCGGCGCGCCATAACGGTGCAGTATGGGGAATTCAATCGACCCCTCATCTTATTTTTGCTCTCTCTCTCTCTCTCTCTCTCTCTCTCTCTCTCTCTCTCTCTCTCTCTCTCTTACAGGGCGATCAAGGGCCGTGGATGCGTGACAAGGACAGACGGTATACGCTGATTCGCACGCGGCCAAGAGATACATCACATCGCGCGCGTACGTTATATATGCGCGCTGCAGCCGCGGCCGGGCGCGGGCGGGGCAGGGCCCCAAAGGCACATTCACATTGCGGCGTGCGTTGTTGACGCAACCATTGATGCGCACGAGCAGGCGCTGTTCCAGACCAGCGGGGGACTATGCCAAGCGCAGATCAGGGACAGCAAAATTGTTCGTCACATACCAGTACTACTTCTTCTTACATGGGACATGGGACACGGCGAGCGCACGAACGCATAGAACTGTAAATAGCTAAAATAAAATAGATTCACAAGAATAATTACTAGGAACAAATGGAGATGCAGTATACTTGGCTGGTAAGTTTGATTTGTTACCAGAGCTCTCGCTAACGGTAGGCCCCTCTTGCCCCCCCCCCC